TGATTCCTTTTTTCTTGCAGGTTGCAAGATTAGATCTACTAAATGCTTTCCACAAAGCAGGTTCAAATCGATGGATTGGCTTTCCATGAATTAAAGTTTTTTGCCATATATGCTAGCTTTTGTGGACAGGTGGCTGTTGAAGAATTTTTTGGGGTTATTACCCTTTTGTTAGTAATACTATTTTCTTGTGCCAACAACAACTGTTGGAAGAAAAGAATTTTGGGCTCCTTGAGGATTGTGGCTCTCAAAGCTTGTTAGATCAGGAAGATAAGTCATAAGTAAGGTGTCTTCCATGTAGATGTGGATGCATCGGTCTTACAGAACTCCCAAGCTACATGTGGGGGTGTTATTAAGGGACTCCAAAGGTGAATGGTTAGCTGGTTTCAGGATGAAGCTTGGGCAAATCCCTGTTACAATTGCGGAACTTATGGCTATACGAAAAGGCATCCAAGTGTTTGCTATGCTTAATCTCGATAAGGTCTAAATACACTCGAATTCACTGGAAGCAATTAATCTAATTGCAAGAGGGACATCACCCGATCATCTTTTTATGGAAGAGATTCTCCATGTGCGGTCTACATTATTTAGTAAGACTAATTATGCAGTGTTGCGTGCTTTGTGTGAAGCCACTTTCTGTACTGATCAGATGGCAAGAGGGGCGCATGCTGGAGATGACTCTCTGCATATTTGTTTTGAAGTTCCCAACATTTATGAGGATATTTACTTTAGGGAGAAATCCAGCTGTCAGCCTATGAGTCAAGCAGCCTTGCTTTGTTTTGTCTTTTAAGTAGTTATACCTATCCTTGTTTAGTAAAAAAAAAAAAAGGACCAATTTTTTTTTTTTTTGTTTTTGAAATGGAAAGTGAAATTTCATTGAAGGAAACTGTTACAGTGTAGAGGCAAAAGCCAGCTACATCAAAGACTTGAAAAATTGTAAAATCACTAAAACCTTATTTGATAGAGTTAAATATTAAAGATAAAAATGAAATTGAGATAGAAATCTTGACCTTTGGTATATATGAATTAGAATTTTCATGAATGGTAATTTCATTAAAAAATCCTGAATTAAATTTTTTGTTTAAAACTATGAAATTTAATTTCAAGAATTTTATTTTTCAAGACAATTTTATCTTTATAAAAAAATTAAAAAGATAATTTTACCCTATAAATTATATAAGCATAAGTCTTGTGCCTTTAGAAACTTCTAGTCTTTCAAATGATGGTAGTTGAGTTTTTCTTTTTAGCTTTTTTTTTTTTTTAACCTGCCGTCTATGTTCTTCTCTATTTTGGGGTCATTATAGGCACAGAAATCTTTATATAAATTATTATTATATATTTTCTCCATTTAAAAATATAAAATATTTTAACCAAATTTTATTCTTAATAAAGTTGTTACATACTTTTAAATTAATTATATCCTCTCATATGTATTTCTATTAAACACCTTTCAATAAATATAAAGTTATTCATTAATAGAGGCACTTTAAAAAAAAGACAATAATAACATCTTGAAAGACTAAAAATGTCTTATATTTTTTAACATCTAATTTCTAAAAAAATATCTTACATTTTCAAATGAGGGGAGTATATATAGACAATATAGTATTGTATATATTTATATATTTATAATATTTGTTTTATAAAATTCTTTACTTATATGTAATATTTTATTTATATATTAAAACATGAGGAAATTAAAACACAATCAAGCTTTTAATATCTTTTTACTTTTATTTTTATGAGTAATTTTGTCTTTGAAGTATAATTTTATTTTCATATCTTACACACCAAACAAAAGTAATATAAGAATTACATCTATTTTTTAACCATATCAAATATATTTTAAAACTTAATTCTATTTTAATTTTAATTTTAATTTTAAAATTAATTTTATAAAAAACTATTTAATCATACCAAACAAGAATATAGTCTAATAGGATTCTAGTGTGCATAAGGAAAGAATCAACAGTGAAATATTCATCAAACTATTTAATTAAACGGACACGATTTAATTAACAATTCTTATTGGATATGAAATATTATTTTTGGCAAGGTCATCAGAATTGAATTGGACCGGTCAGTTTAACTGGAACTGACTTGGTGTCTGGTCTGGAGATAAACAAAAAATAAAAAATGTAAGAACTGGTGGCAAACTGCCTAAACCGGTACTGAACCGGTAAACCCAGCTGAACAGGCGGTTTGAATGGTTCAGCTGGTTTGTTAAAAAAAAAACATGAACAGAAAAGATGGAGAGGAAGTGGGAAAGACAGCAACAAATGTGTGGTGTGTGTGTGTGTGTGTGTGTGTGTGTGTGTGTGAGGAAACAATTATGATAGGGATTGGAACACGGGAATGAACGAAGCACAAAGAGAATGAGGAGGGCAGGATCTTGTAAGCCACGACGGCGGGGAAAATACAGAGAAGATGGAATGGGGTCTTACAAATTTTAAAATTAATGCTTCAGCTGCTTGGCGAGGATTGAGGGGATTTACAAGTGAGATTTTAATTTTGTTTAAAGATTAGAGCACGTGACGGTCGAGAACAACCTAGCGGTAGTCTAGTAGGTGCTATCATTTCAATTTCATGTACATTAAATATATTAATAAAATATTATTATATTTTTTGGTGGGGAAATATTTATTATTATATTATTTCAATGGAAAAGATTAAATAAATCTTAAATTTTAGGTAAAAATAAATTTTAAATTAATAAAGATGACTTGAAATAAAAATCAATTATAGAAAAAATCATTTTATTATCAAAAATTTTAAAAATTTTTATTATCAATCTTTTATCAACGAATATCAATTCAAATTTTAATAAAAAGGATAATAAAATGGGCATAAATTATAAAATGTTAATCATTTATTATTAAATATTATATTCATATTTTAACAATAATTATTTTTGTGATTAAAATAATGTATTCAGATTTTAATAAGTAAAATGCATGAAGTTTTTAAAATTTTTAATTTATAATTAATATGTCAGATTAAAAAATAACATTAGTAAAATAATAATTACTATTTTAAAATAACCGTTATATTATAATATAAAAAGTAATTTACAAACTTTGTGACTATATATATATATATATATATTTACTGTATATTATTAAATGATCACATTAGCTTAGTGGCCGATGACCCTCTTTGGCGATGGTCGTGTGTCCAACACAATTGACAACGAGGATGGCTGTTATTTTTTTATTTTATATTTTATGAATAATTTAATTATTTAAGATTAATATCAGGCAAGAATTGAAGACTGTAATAATTGCTATAACAGTGCATGATTAATGTTACCTCCATTTTAAATTATATGATACTTTTAAAAGAATTTTTCTATCCTAAATATAAAATATTTATGATAGATTAAAGTTTTATTGAATGCATCAATTTTAATATTATACTTTCTCTCTATAATTAATTTTTATCTTTTTGTAATATATAAAATAATAGGTACTTTTAAAATTTTTATATCTTATTTTTTAAAAGATAAAATTATTAAGTATATTTAATATATTTATTAATATGTGAGATTTTATTTAAAAATATTTTATAATTTAAAATGAAAGAAATATTTTTTAAAAAAAATAACAAGAAGAAATTGGAAATTTGGTGGCTGCTAGCCTGCGGCTCATCAGCTAGAATTTTTAGACACAATGAACGCAACGCAGCGCATGTTTTAAATATTAATACCATGTGCCTTCACACAGAGACGCCTCATTCTTAAATTCTTGAAAATTAGAATAAAATTCTGTCTCCAGAGTTTCAACCCACGACGATCTTTGGCTCAAACAAAAAAAAAAAAAAAAAAAAAACAAGCAACCCATTAACGATGCCTTTCAATCTTATCCCTCCCTCCATCGTTATTCTATTTCCTATCTATCCTCAACCTTCAGCTTGAAAATAACTCATCATATTTGGATTCGCCTCCACAGCGCCACGGACCACGGGGTCCCTTTTTAAAGATTAATTGGCTTAAACTACTATTTTGAAAGTTTAAAAATTAATTAGGAGTAAAAAAAAATATCTTTAGATTAAAAGTAGCTGGTAAATGATTTTTTTTTAATTATGGTTAGACCAAAAGCCATATTTTAAAATTTTTACCTTAATTACATTGACTATTCTCGAATGAGATTTATTTTAGTCATTATCTTTGAATAATTTTCTCAAAGGGTCCTTGATGTGATTCTTCCTATATTTAAAATTATCTTTTTAATTATATTATCTACACAATTTTCAATTTTAAATTAACTTTTTTAAAAAAAATATTTAAAACATAAATTACCTTATAATAACGAATTTTAGTCTAACTTTAGTTTGCAAACTGTAGTTTATGCAAAATATTACAATTAAATTTAAACCAAGTAACTGTCCCGCATTCTGTAAATTTTCATATGTTATACAAATATAATACTTTTGGGTGACAAAGTTAAGGGTTGGCTTCCGCCATTTGCAAATGAAGTTCAAGTATCAAGGCTATTATTGCATATCTGTTTATAAAGTTGCGTTTGGTTTGAGTTTATGTTATTGTCACAATTCTTCCAAGTGGCGATGGGCTCTGTGTCACGTGAAATCAAGGATTTTATTGCTTATTCTGAACATACAGCCAGTGTATAAATATGGAAAAGAAACAATAACATTAAATGCTTAACGGTGCAACCAGACTTTACAACACACATTGACCGTGGGGCCACAAATGCCTCCCCGGAATCCGTTCTTCCCTGTTATTCAGATTCTTATCCCAATTTTATTTTCACTCTTAAAATTTTAAACTACCAAACACTGTAACATCAATTTTTTAAAAAAAAACCATTTATCCGCTTATGTACTTACATATAATCGCAATTTTCTTTTTTGCAAACTACTTATAATCCGCATTGTACATGAATTTAAGAAATAAATCATCTATATGATTTCAAAAAACTATATTTTATTATAATGTTATACTATTTTATATATTTGTAGGGTTTATAAGGACCAATTAGTTAGTCTGTCGCCATGCAACCAATTAGATAATATATGTTCACTTGTCCAATAGACATTAGTTCCAGTTACAGCAGCGGCAAACAGACACGTCGTGCCAGTTCAGATACATGCCACCTTAAATGTACAAGCCTGTAGAATATTGGCACACACAGTGACAATTGTGAGAAACTTGTTGCTATTATCACTGTCTCCACCATCTCCCCCCCCCCCCCCCCAAAAAATTTTTTTTATACCTTCCCAGAAATACAAAAGGAATCACTTAAAATTTGTAAGTGCAGCTTCCATTGTCACTCCTAGCTGTTGGATCATAGTTTTCAGCAGAAGGATCTGTGCAACCTTCAGGGACAGGAACATGAACCTGTTGAGCTCCTTGTCCTGCATCCACAAACATTTAGGCAACCCTATTCTACGTCATATTTGGTCCAAATCTTAATCCTGTCTCAATCCTGAACCGCAGGTTAAACAAACCAGTTGAGCTGGTCTGCATCTTATAACTCTGCTTCAAAGGACATTAGGATGAAGGATCTTACCGTAGAAGTTTCCGGACTTGATGGCATCTTCGTTCGCGTCTCCTAGGGCTGCCTCTTTGAGGTACTTGTCAGACAATTGAACCCTCTTCACATTCTCCTGCTCTTGCACGAGCATGTTTCCATACTCAAGCAGCTTATCCAGACTCATCTTTGGCTGCTCAAATGTTGGAGGACCTTCTTTTGAGTTCACAAGCCTTTTCCCAACATTCTCTACCCCGACACCAGCAATCCAGTTCCTCACTTCATCATCATACACTCTAGCCCTCAACGCACCAAAGAAGTCTGCACAAAATTGTATACAAAAAGTCATCATTTGCATTTCATACGTATAGCCTGACATCTGATCTCGTTTACATTTCAGTGCTTTTCAGATTTCTGAATTGTGATTATAAGTGACTAGCAGAGGGGAATAGAAACACACCAATTGATTGGCCAGGGAAGGTGTCGACAAGCTTGACAATATCTTCCTTGGGAACATTGTCTGTTCTGAAGATGCCTTGGCAGACACCAATACGGTCTTCCCTAGTGGGCGCCCAGTAGAACTTCTCCATACGACCATCACGAATGAGAGGTGCATACAGAGTTGAGAAATCGTTACCGGTAACAATGATTGGCACACGAGGATTCTCTTCTTTGTTGTACATGCCAGGAAGCTGGACACTGGTTGGGTTGTCAGCTATGTTCATGAGGGTTGCATTAACCATCTGGTTGTTCACCGTGTACTGTGTGGTTCCACCAAGCCTACCAGCCCCCGCATCAAGATCATTGATGAAGAGGCAGCACATTTTCCCTTTCCTGATGATGTCAGCTGCCTCTCGGTACCTTTGCCTGATCAATTTCGCCGGCTCTCCAGCATTTCCACTTTCCAATTCTCCAGCACTCATCATTATGGGGCTGAAAGAATTCATTAAGGGTATCAGATCAAACAGTTGAGTAGCAATCAAGCAATTCTTTTCTTATATGTTCCCAAGTCTAAAACATCAACACTTTGTTCCTATGACTTGAAAACTATTTTGTTCCAAGAACGAAGAATTCCTTACAGCAAAAAGAATTGAACTTACTTGATTCCCATCTTGGCAAAGACAAGCTCACACTGGAATGACTTTCCCTGACCTTTTCCTCCCCAGATACCCAAAATAAGAGGAACCTTGATGTTTGGCAAAGTCAGGAAGTTCTTGGTGATGTGAACAACCACCTTGTCCATAAATGCAGGAGCAATATAGAAGCCATCCATAGTGTTATCCAGATTGTACCTTACATCATTTTCAAGTTCGACATTAGACATTAGCATTATGCTCTTACAAGTTCTTAGAATGAAAACAATCGAGGCCTATCCAAGAGTATCTATGTTGCAAAAATTCTAAACTACGGATCATCATATTTACTTACTGGCGAAGACCAGCACTGATGTAATCGTAGGAACTCATGACAGCATAGTGAGTACCAGTACCCATGGGAGCTTGGAAGAGAGTGTCCACCATTCCCTTTCCTCTAGTGATATCTTGCTGGTCATCTGAAGTGTCATGGGCAAGCCCTCCCCATCTGTCCTTGTCTGTCTGCTTCTCTTCATCATACTCTATTGCCCCAGAAACCTTAAAATTCCCACACAAATTCTTCTGGCTGGTAACCCTAGAGCTGATCTTCCTCAAGCTAGTTCCAAAGAACGCTGAGCTTGTCACCGGAGCTCCAGCGGAGCCACTCAAGTTCAACTGCATCAATAGCTTCCAAATGAATACCGGGATACATTTTTAAGAACAAATGTGAAGACACCCAGACTGCAAGAAGCCAAAATCCCAACTCACAACATCCAAGATAACAACAAGGGTTCATTTTAATTAAGAGAGTGGGATCCAGAATGGTATTACTAATCACGTGGTCAAAGAGGCGCTATACTTTTTTAAAACTCAGAAGCTATTAATTGGATAGCTAAAGACACGTTTTTTCACAACAAATCCGAACAGTCTAGATAGCTGAGAGAAAAACCCAAGATCTCAAGTCTCAACTCAGAAGTCAGAACATCCAAATACAGAAAATGTTTGTGGTTGATTTTAATTAATAGAACAGAGAGTGACAAATATCAAAGAGGCTGATAAGGTTAAACCATAAAGTGAAGATACATGTATTACTTTAGCATAATTTTTAACACATTAATGGAAACAAGAGCTACACTAGTTGAATTGCATGATCCCATCTTTACCAGCAAAACTTGAGCAGACAGAGCGAATAAAACAAGCCAAATTTCAACGTAGAGCATAAAAAAAAACAGAGCACAACCAACAGTATGAAACGAAGTGTGAAAGAAAACACATTGAACGGATGCAACAACGGCTCAAACAGTTGATGTGCTAAGAGAAAAAGGCGGAAAAAAACATAATACCGGTGCTCTGTTAACAGCTCCGACGGTGGACACTGAAGCTGCCATTCTTATATACAAATCCAAAAAGGTGGTATCAGGTAGGAGAGTTGAATTGAAGGGAAGATGAAGAAGACGAAATAGAGAAGAGTTTCAAAGTGTTTGGTGTGAAGGAAAGAGAGAGGTGAGAGGGACGACTTTATACTGGGACTGGGATGGATAGAGAGAAGCGAAAGCGAAAGCTAAAGAGTAGAGAACAAGAGATGGGATATTTGGGGAGAGAAAAACTAACAGCCACACAAAATAGCAGTGGATTTGGCTGCCTTCCAACGTGGCCCTTGGTTTTTGTTTTGCCCTTTGAACGTTCGCTTTGAGGACAGACCAAACTTCATTTACAAACAAAATCGAGGCTTCTCGGAACTGCGCTCGTTAGAGGTTTTGTCTAAGCTTCAACCTTCACCACTCAAAAATTTTATTTTTTTATTTCCCTACAAATTATTACGCAAATAAAGATAATAAGATATAATAATGAGTTAATGTTAGATATATAATTTCTCTATGAAAACTTGCATAAACGTTTTTTAATTAACTTGTATATACTATATACAACTTGAACTTCTTTTTTAATCCATTTTGTTTGACTTTGTTAAGTTTGAAATATTTTTTTCGGTTCAAGTCAATTGATTTTGAACACTGATCATGGTTATATAATATTGAGGAATTTATAGGTGTTTTGTGTCAAGTTGTATATCGTGTTTAGTCTTTAGATCCTCATGACTCGTTATAATTTTATGATCTCCAACAACAAATGTAATATAATATTTTAAAGATATTCAGTATAATTTTCGATAGTATTTTTTTTTCAAATAAGCTAATTTTAATTAGCTAATCAAATTTGTGGTACCTCTTCTTATGTCGGGAAGGTTCTCTTAAGAAAATGACCTTTTGGATAAAAAGAAAAAAGAAATTGACCTTTTTCGGCCAATAATCTTAATATTGGTTGAATAATTGAATACATTGCATAGCATACAAAACTATGCATAAGGGATAATACTACCATGCTTTTTCTGTCCACAACACTTTATAATATATATAATCATATATATATATATATATATATATATTGTCTTTTTTTTTTTGGGCACGGATCAAGCACATAGGCGTGCATATGAGATCCATTTAGAGTCCATGAAATTATAAAAGGCCAGGCTTGAAAAATCTATCCCAATTCCCAAATAAAGAAACGAGGCCATGAGCGGAACAAAAACCATAAAAAGGAGAAAGTTAAGTAATCCATGAGTTGATCTGATTTTAGTATAATCCGAAACTGAACAAAATTGGATTAGTTTAGTAAGATTAAGAGATTGATCTTAATCTTATCTAACATCTCATTTTATTTTTTTTCCTTTTTCATTTATGAGAGGTAGTTATTTATTTTAACATAATAAATTCAATTTATATAATAAAATTAATTATAGTCACATAAAATTTATCACAACAACAACAATTATAAATTCACAGCAATATCTAACAATAACAAAAAGTATTTTAATTGCAATACAAATAATTCAAGTTAAACAACATTAAATAACCTTTAACATATTTAAAATCCATTACATCAAGTTAACAACAAATTTCACCCATAAAATGAGAAGATTGGTATTGGTCAATGCTGAAATTTTATTTAATATTTATAAATTCACAAGTATAAAACATAAAAAGTACTAATTATTATTATAAATTAACTTATTATAATAATGATAATTAATTAATTAAATTTATAGGATCGGACAAAATCAAATGGTCTAAATGCTCGGTCACTTGTTCAGTTCAACCCGAAGGATGAGTCTGGTTTTTTTGATCCTAAAAGACCAATTTTATTTAAACTAGACAGTATCGAATTTGTCTCGAGTTGGATTAAATCAAATTGGATTGAAAGATTTTTACAAAGCGCTACATAAGCCCATGTGGTTGGGGGCTCCATGACACAAGTTTGTCTGTAATTTTTTTTCTTGGATATTTATTCTTATAATTTTATATTTGCAAAAGATCATTATATGTATAATTGAGATTTAGACCATTATACCTTTGATGTTACAGTTTATAATTTATGTGCTATCCTTTTATCATTAATTTTATATTTAATTTTTTTAAAAAATTTTCCAAAACTAGATTCATTGAAGTGAGCCTATACAAGAAATATTGACTTACGAGCATGCCCTAAATGGCTAAGCCCATATTATAAAAGTTCATATCAAGTCAAAAAAAAAAAAATATTATGAAAGTTCATATGGTTTTAGCTGACCCATTTCCTAGCTACGAACGCATTATAGAAAATATTAAAACTTTTATTCAAGTGAATTGCATAGAATATGTACATAAATTTAAGAAAAAAAGGGAGATATACGAATATATGATATATCATAATATCAATGTTGTTTTAACTTCTAAAAGAGCTTTATACATTTGTGAGGGGAAAAGGACATGTAAATATTAAAAAAGTTACTGTTAAGATATTTTTGAAATTAATGAAATTTGCAAGTCTTAATATTAATTTTATTAATCAAGACTTAAGTGTTATTTTTTCTGTACATTTTGTTACGGCGAGGGGTAAACAATTTGGGGCCAGTCATGATGACGGCATCATGACCTATCAAATATCAATAAACAATCACCAAACCTTATTTGGTATTCCTATTTAGGCACATAAATCCATTTTAATTGATCTAATATCATTTCAATTATATTGAAACGAGTCTTATCTCGATCATAAAATAATTAGAATAAAACTTTACAGGATTGAATAAGAAAGAGGTTTGGGATGGGACATGAAATTATCATTGAGATGTCATCTCCCGTCTTAAATATTATATATATTATTTTTATTTTAAATATATTAATTATATTAATATAATGTATACTTATATTAATTATATCAATTATAATTTCAATATTTGTAATTATTATTTAAAACTAAAATTTTTTATATTGATAATTTTAATGATATGGAGTAAATGTAACGATCTCTTTCTTTATAATATATTAATTATATTAATATAATTTATTCTCATATCTATCTATTTAATAACTTTTATTTATATATTATTTCTTATTTTATTTTTAAAAAGGTAATTAACTTAGCACATCTCAACTAAAGTATAAGAACAATGATTTGATATTGTGCTTGACTTACGTGTTGTTATTACTGTTATAGCCTAAAGATCACTTGTATTTATTATTATAATATGCAGTTGTGATTAATGTAATTTAATAATTAACTTTAAATTATTGTAATTTATGTACTTGTGTTGTTTTGATTATAAACTTAATAAGTTATATAATTTGAAATTTTAATAAACATTATTATCTAAATCTTTCTCTAATATTATTCGATTTATCAGAACGGCATGATATCTTGGTCTCGTCCTGACTCCTAATGGGATGATATGACTTTTGAGACGAGACGAGACACGGGATCAAAATTTAGTCTTGATATTTTTTTCAGGATAGGGGTTTCCTTATCTCATTCTATCTCGTAAACACTCCTATTCCTATTTTTTCTTTTAGATTCAAACTTATGCACGCTAGCGTTAATCTAATTGAAAGCACAATTTTAACCTAGTTTCCATATATAGTTCTTGTAAACGTTATGGGCTTTGAATATAAGTTTGATTACTTGTTATCTCCTTTTTCTGCGTAAATACAATTCATAAAACAAATTGTTCTAAAAAATTTGTGACAATAATTCGATTTAGGGTTAATATGTAAAATAAACCCTGAAGTATGGCGCGAAAGGTGCCTTAAATCCTGAACTTTTAAAATATGTAAAATAGATTCTAAACTTTTAAATTCATGGTAAATTAAACTCTACCGTTAACTCACCATTAATGTTGTTACCATTCACTCAGTAGGGCCTAGTCAAAATGATGATGTGGCAGTCTCTTGCTAATATATTATTTTTAATTAGCACTATAGACCTTAAATTATTACGCAAGTAGCATCATGGACCTTGAATGAAATTCAAAGCAAATTACCCATATCATTTATATGTAAAATGATGACTATTATATAAACTAAATTAGCTTCAGTGTATTCACCATTGTGAATACATTGTTGGCCGCAGCAAACCAATAATTTTGTGAAATGACATTTTTTATCCCTTTTTTGCAATATGTTTTAAAAGATTGGTATCTAATATTTTACATACTATATAACTCTGATTTAATTTTATTTTAAATGGTATTTATTTATTTAATGATAAAAATTTGGGATCTCATTTGAAAAGAAGTTTAATTATTAGAGAATTTTACAGACGATAGATGCAAAAGTTAGAAATTTTATCAACAAATTTCAAACTCAAATTAGCTGGCTGATTAAAATATTAAACTTCTTTTTAAATGGAATCCTAAGTTTTTATCATTAAATAAATAAATATTATTTAAAATAAGACTAAATCAAAATTATAAAGTATATAAAAGCATTAGATACTAATGAAAAATATTGCAAAAAAAAAGGAAAAAAAATGTCATTTCACAAAATTATGGGTCATTCACCATGGCCAACGATGAGATCATCATGGCGAACCACAGTAAAGCTAATCTGATCTACATAATAGTCAACGTTCTACACATAAAATGTAGGAGTAATTTGCTTAAAATTAAAGTTTAAGGTCCAGGATGCTACTCACGCAATAATTTAAAGCCTGTGGTATTAATTAAAAATGACACATAAGCAAGAGATTACTATAGCAACATTTTGAATGGGCTCTACTAAGTGAATGGTAACAGTATTAATGGTGAGTTAATGATAGAGTTTAATTTACTATGAATTTACAAGTTTAGGATCTATTTTGTATATTTTAAGAATTTAGAATTTAAAGCACTTTTTGCGCCATACTTTAGGGTCCATTTTTCACATTAATCCTTTTATTTAGATTACTCCTTTTTTGGATTAAAATATAAACATTTTTTAAAATTTTTGTTTGGCTCACAATATAAAATATTAAGTAGTTTTTCTAATTATTTTTTTAACTATATCCTTACTTTATTTATATTTTACTTTTTTCAAAAACAATACATTACAAAAATTAATTAGATAGTGGTGACTTGTGAGTTGTTATGGGTAGGACAATTCATATTACAATCCAATGATGGAAAACATAAATTTATGACCAAACTCATTGTGAACATCATGACAATCCAAGAAAGAATAAAAAAAAATTATAAACCAAAAGAGTTAAATGCAATAATGTTTGGATTGGATATATAGCTTAGTCACTACCAAGTATACACACTCAATGGCAGAGTTAGAAAACTAAGTCAACAGTGCAGGTCAATATAATTTAAAAATTAATTATTAAAAAAATAATATTCTAACTTTTTAAAATTAATTACATTAGATAAAAATATAATAACATAAATAAAATTATACATCCTTTTATTTAAACAAATTATATCAAGATTTTTTTTGTAAAAAATATGCTGAGAATTTGGAATAGGCATCATCGTTGGACGATGGTGACATCCTCCTTAGATATGACACATTGACAAGATGGAAGTGGTACGAGTAAACTTGGTTCATCCCATATCTCCTTTAATTTGGTAAAATACTCAAAAAAACTAAGCGAGCCTTGTGTGCAAGAAGATAAAACTTGATGCAGAGGGTAGATTTGCGCACCATCAACCTTGTAAAAACATTCTTGCAAGTCGACAGAGACAAGATGAGCATTCTCAAAAAAAAAAAAAAATCTCATTGACTATCTGCTTATCCACTGAGTTTAGGAGCACTGCAGCATTACATCGACCCCATTGGTTATGTAGCTTGGGATCTTGTCGTTTCCTAGTGCAAGACCCATCTGGAAATCCCAACTTATTCTTTCCAAGAATTGCAAGATGAATGATGCGACTCCAAACAATGTAGTTGCTAGAACCCGTCAAAACTTGCGAGACTAGGGTTGAAATTTGCGCATCGGATGGATGAAGATAGAGGGAATGATTGAAATCGATAAAAAGGGAAGATGACGATGTACCTTTTTCATCACTTGTCATTGAGGTGGCTAATCGGAATTGTTGTCTAGATAGAAGAGCTAGGGCAAAGGAACACAAGGTTCTAGAATCTAGAAAGTAGTTAAAGACATGGCGTTAAATCAAGAAAGAAAAAAAAAAAAAGACGCACAAGCAGAATCTTTGGTCTTCGACTGTTCTTGATGAATATAGAGCTGTGTCATGATTAATCTTTGAACGAACGAAGCCACACAAGACATTGATAGGGCTTCAATAAAAAGATGGATTCAATTGGCTTCATGGGCCGAAGGAAGGTGAACCAATGCTCAGGCACCATGTGAACATCGTCACAATCCCATGGAAAAGTCAAAAAATATTGAAATCAAAGAGTCCAATACAATAATGTTTGGGCTGGATATATTTAGCCCTCAGCCACTTGCATGCAAGTATTCGCACTCATGACAGAATACTCGCACGCAATAAGATACGTGTCTAACATTCATAGCCCAGTGTGCACCTGCTTCAGTTTTAAAATATTTGTTCATCATGCCTATTCTAACATGTCATGTCATTGAATTGACAGTCTTCAGTCCGAATGACTCGAAATAATAATTATTTTATTTTTTTATATTACCTCATTGATCGATTTTCTTGGCCGACATCGATGCCTCCCACTTTCACTTTGGTGGAGTCACACTCTCGAATCGATGACAACCTCTGACTTTGATCTCTACTATACTCTCCCCCACGTTACTGTTACTCATCACCTCGCAACATTGTCTACGTGGCGCCTTCTCATTCCCCCACGTTTTCATTGTCGTCATGTCCAAAGCATACCAACCAAAAACATTATTAAAATTATTTTCCCTCAAATATACATTATATATACGCTTCATGTGAATAAAAGCATGATCTGAATATTCAACCTCCCTTACCTTATTCCACAGGTCTTGAGAAAACTGAGGTGCATTGATGTTGACAAAGTCAACCCGCATGGTCGCCGTGTAGTTATCTCCATTACATTTCTTTTCCAATACGTCCCCATACCTGACGTACGTGGATCGGGTCTCCTCTCTGCCCACGCTCTCGACCCGATCCATGAAATACACCACCGGCCTCCGGCAAGGGTCGCTCACGGATCGGATGTTGAACACGAATGGCTGATCACTCCAACTGTTCCATGTCTGAAACGTCCCCAACGCCGTTTCCAGTTCTTTGGCCGTCAACAATGAAGGATACAACTGTACAGTGTAGCCCCACGACACCGATATGGACCAGTTCCGTCGCAGGTCGTAACAGATGCTCTGTTGCAGGATCCGACCCGAATCCATTTTATACGCCTTCACTAGCTTCTTGTATGACTCGACCCGGGTCGAGCTCGGAAACAGCTGGTCCACTGCTTCGATGTGGTGCAGTGACACCAGCGGCGCCACTGGGTGCGCCGCGAGCAAGCCGTATGAACTTCCTCTTATATCAACCTGGAACAAAATTACATGTAATGTATTAGTGTTCAAATTCAAGTAGTGTTTCATGAAATGAAGGAAGAGGAGGATGACCTGATGAAAACCACGCTCTTTCGTCGTTTGAACGCCAATCTCACTGACGCAGGCTTGGATCTTCTGATCACCTCCGTACAACTGAGCGTACCGGTTGACGCAGCCGTCTAGAATCTGCACAAGCTCCTCCGCGAGGGGATAGCTGATGGCGTATCCGCCGCCGCCGAACGCGGTCTTGTAAGAGAATGTAACATCTTGCTCCACACTCTCCGAATCGACTCCTATATAGTACAAATCGTTGTGGTCATACTTGGCCAATACCGTCACTAAATTCTCGGGGAAAAACAAAGTGTCGTCATCACCCATGACAAACCACCTCACGTTTTTCAAGCCAAGTTCGAAGCTCTCCTTAATGATGCGCGTGAGACGAATCGCGGAACGGTCACCGTACCAGCAGGTGTAGTTGAAGGACGATGTATCGGCGGAGACTTTGTAGGGCGGCGAAGTCTCCGGCCATGTCTCATTTTCTGGAGGCTTCTGGTCCATCCACACGAAGCCTCTGGTAACATTAGGTTGCCAATAAAGCTCGACGTAGGGCCGTCGCTTGGGCCAGGTCTTGGCGGAGCCGCCAAGGCCGAATAGAATATGCGAGATATTGGTGGGTTCTCCATCGCCCACGACAGAAGCGGTGGTCGTGGTATAGTGCCGAACGGCATGGCTGAAGTTGAATTCTGCAGTAGGATTGTAAAGATTAGCTTTGTGGACGAGGAAGAAGACGAGGACGAAGGTGGAAAGGGACAGACAGATTTTGAGGCAAAGAGATGGAGGAAGTTTCCATGATTTGAGACATTGCAGAACTGTGGAAGAAGACATGGGAAATGGGAATGAAGATAATGCAGTCGCTGGGATGAGAAAGTGTTTGGATTGGAGGATGAAAACTAGAGTTTGACATTAATGTGTGTGGAGTCGAATGACTCTGATGACAAAATATTGGATATACAGCACTGAAGCATATTCATTGATCTTCGCTAAAACATGAGCATCTGAAGACTTGAGATAGTTCTTATCACATATTTGCGGCTTGGATGAATTGTGGACCCCATTGGCAAAACGTAGAGAAAGGGGAAGACGATACGGATGAGTTGGCATTGGAGCGTACAATAAACGGTGAAAGAGGTCTTGGTGCAGTATGTGGACCAATTCATACGTGGTATCGTTGAAGTACTGAGCTTTATATATTCACGTGTGGTGGTGTCATTTTCCATCAATAATTATAATGTATGAGATGGAGCAGAGTAATGGGATTAGGACGACTTTGTGATTACTTGTAAGAGGCGCAGTTGAGGCCTTTTATCAATGATATAACTCCACCAAACAAACTCGTGGCGGATTCATCGATCAGACTCTGTGTGTTTAACTGTTTATCTTAATATGCTTTGTTTTGTTTTAATTCTCTGACTTGAAGTACTATAATGTTTAAAGAAAATGGTCCCTCCATATCAGATCACTGACAGGAATTACTCTTGGATAACGGAAATTATAACTGCATGTAATTAAATAACTTATCAAATAACTACTGATAATACGCGCGAGTAAAAAAGAAAGAACGGAATTAGTCGATAAAACAATGTTTAATTAATGTCGAATACAAATTTACCGGCGAGTTGGGGTGGGGATAATGGACATGTATGTGAACTTTGGATTCATATTACTTCCTGTCATTCTTTTTACAAGGCCTTGTTAAACTGTCTTCCTAAGATCAACAGAATTAATTAAAGTTACTTAAATGTTAAACATGTTTATTGTTTTTCAAAATTACCCGTAATTAAACTGAAGCCAGTGAAAGTTTTTTTATGCCACTGATGTTCACTAAATTTTGTAAGAGGTCTTGTATTAAGGATGAGGGCTAAAAGGCAGGGTCTCATAAATGCGACAGGAGAGTATGGGTTGATTGGGGAAAAATAAATATAAAATGATCAGTCAGGATATTAAAGTCACTTCAGGCCATCTTGTACACAACTCAGATTTTTAATATGAGTCACTTTTAACAATACATAGTTTTTAACCAAAAAAAAGTGGGTTAAATCATTAAATTTGTCTATTTCAATATTTCCCAAAGTGATTTATGGTTGGGACCCAAAAATCCTTCAAAATATATAACTAATATTGATAACCAAAGGAAGTAAAATAAAAAAACAAGGGGTCAATAGTATGATTATGAATCTAATTTATTTCGATTGAATTTGGGCCTAACAATAAAAGTTAAGAATGAAGGTAGTAAGTGGATTACATAAAATTGTCCAAGACCAAGGGCCGTTAAGAGGTCCAAGAGACTTTTAATTAGAAGTGTACCCAAAATAATTATTTTGCAAAGAAATCATATTTTCCAATTATAAATCTGCACCAATTATAAAAATATTTCGCTTTCTCTCTGTTTTTTTTTTCCTGCATCAGATGAATCTAAATCCTTAATCCCTAATACATATATAAATTATACATTGATCCCTTATATGGGAGAATGACAAGTAAGGGCCCCACAAAAATATTAATATCCAATTAATATTTTTTAACACTAACATTTTCAAAATTAGTACCTTTTCTCCCTTGTTCCAGTACTAAAATTCTTGATTTGGCATTAATTTTTTTACAAGGTCCTTATCATTCTCCCTTAGATCATCCTTATGACTTATTTTTTTTCTTACCAGCATCTTTAGGACCTTATGACTTGAGTCAGTTTAAAAATAAATTATTTTCTTAAATCCTGGACAACTGTAAACGAAAGAAGTTATGGTAAGTGGTCAGGCATTGGCGCATCCATTTAAAGATGAATTAGCAACATACACAAATTACACATATAATTGCAAATAGACACCGGAACTTTTTCTTTAAATAAAATTTCTTTTTTAGGGCAGAGATAACGAAAAAAATGACAACTAAAAGCATACTTCATTCCATACTAAGTTTAATTTTGTTATAGAATATCAAATAGAATAATTTTTTAAATTTACTAAAAACCTTAAATTTATATTACATTCTTATTTAAAATAATAAATAATATTAAAACATTTAATATCTTATTAATTGATTTATAATTAGGATGGTCATTGTTTAAAATGTCCCTTGTAATTATAAACAAGAAGACAGATTAAAAAGGAATGGAAATAATGCTGTCAAATTTAATTATGAAGGTGGGCCCCGCATGGAGAGCACATGACATGAATGAACAATTGTACTGTGTTTGGTGAGATTACAATTAATAAAGGAGGACATGTTATCTTTTGTTGTTGAACCATTCCACTCCTAAAGGCCGCGTGTCCACCTTCTTGTTTTGGCCAACCCCTCCTATCAACTTTTTAACCCTACAACATTTTTTTAAAATAAAATATTTTCCCCTTTCAGATTGTTTATTATGCCTTTCCTGCTTCCGAAGTGCCATTGTGCCAAACTGCCCATAGCATCAAATAATATAATGAATACGCAATTTTTTTTTTAATATGTCAGTTTCTCACACTTATTTAGTATCACTATTATTTGCAATATGAAAGTCCTTATTCATCGCTATAAAATTAATGGTTAATAAAATTTAAAGGATCGGTCTATGCCGGGGATCAAATCATTTGATTAAATTAAAAAAGGAAAAAAAATACTTTGTACAAATAACAAGTATTTTTTTCTCTCCATTCTAGCCAAGTCTGGAAGAATTTGAAATAATGCAAAACGGCACCCCGTTTGACACGGTCATCATCTCTGAAGTTTCATCGACTATCGTATCGTGGCTTACCGCGTAGATTCTGAAACTCATCATATCACGCCTGACCTACGGAGGGGTCACGCTCTCAAATGGATGACACCCTCTGATCTTCACTCGGACCCCACCCACTTCATCATCGCCGCTGATAACATCGCAGCATTGTCTACGTGGCGCCTGCTCATTCAATCACATCCTCAATTTTGTTACATCGACAACAAATCCAAAAAATGCCGTGCTCTCGAACAGCATTTTTAAATTTTGGACTACCATAAATAATTCCACAAAATTAAATAATGGATAACTAACGTTCCCAACAAATTTACAACATTTCATCATTTAAATTTTAAATTTACAACATCCCACAAAATTAAAATTTACTTAATTTCCCAAACAAAAATGATTAGTTTTTCAAATTTCGCATTGATTCCGCACAACTACTTTTGTTTTAGATACTGGCGAAAAGAAAAACCACCAATTTTATATGAGTTCAAATCAAAATCGCGGCCCAGCATATTCAGAAGCGCATATTGCGGATGAAATATTGGAAATCAAAATTCTCAAAAGAACAAAAAATCCAACGGCTGAAAATCAACAAACAGATGAACATGATGGGACTATTCTCTCACCTTTTTCCACAAGTCTGGCAAGAGGTGCGCTGCAGTGACGTTGACCAACTGAACGCCTTGAGCGGCTAAGTAGTCAACCCGGTCGCATCTTTTCTCATCATCTTCCACGTGTCTTACGTACGTGGATCGGGTATGTCCCTCGCCCACCACATTGTCGACCCGATTCAGGAAATACACCAACGGCCGCTCACAAGGCTCGTTGCTCATGGGTCGGGTGTTCATCAGGAACGGTTCCTCGTTCCAGCTCCTCCATGTCAGGAACGTTCTGAAAGCCGTTTCCAGCTCCTTCGCCGTCGGCATCCAAGGATATAGCTGTAAGCTGTAACCCCACGCCACCGATACGGACCAATTCCGACGTAGGTCGTAGCAGAAACTGTGTTGCAGTGTTCGACCCGGATCCATTTTGTAGGCCTCAACCAGTTTTGCCACCGCTTCGACCCGGTCCATGTTCGGAAATATCGGCTCCACGTAGTCTAGGTGGTGCAACGACACCAGCGGCGCCACCGGGTGCGCCGCCAGTAACCCATACGGGCTCCCCCGAATATCGACCTGGAATACCATGAAAATTTAAACTTGAAATGACATTCGTAGATAATCAGAATGCCTCCATTATTAAATGACAATATGAACAGAAGTTGGGGTTGAGATGCAGAGATGAAATGTCTTAGTTACAGGTGAACAGGCAATTTTGAATAGAGATGTTAAACGGCAACGTTTCAGAGCTAAATAAGGCAAAGAGAGAAAGTGAGAAACAGGGGAAGAGCAGGGAGCGACCTGATGAAAACCAGGCTCTTTGGTAATTTGAACTCCTATTTCACTGATGCAACCCTGAATTTTCTGATCGGAACCGTAAAATTGAGAGTACCGATCAATACAACTGTCGAGAATCTTTACAAGTTCTGCTGCTAGTGGGTAGCTGATGGCAAACCCGCCGCCGCCGTAGGCCATGGCGTAAGAGTGGATCATATTCTGTTCTACACTCTCAGAATTCCCGCCGATATAATACATTTGATTGTGATCGTACTTCTGCAATACCGTCACTAGATTCTCCGTGAAGAACACCGTATCATCATCTCCCAACACGAACCACCTTACATTGTTCAACCCCAATTCGAAGCTCTCCTTCACAATGCGAGCAATCCGAATCGCCGACCGTGAACCGTACCAGCAAGTGTACTTGAAAGACGACGTATCCTCTGATACCTTATACGGCGGCGTTGTCTCCGGCTCGGGCCATGTCTCGTTTTCCAGAGGATTCCGTTCCAGCCAAACAAAACCCCTGGCGACATTCGGCTGCCACCATAGCTTGGAGTACTGACGGCGAGTGCGCCAGGTCTGGACGGAGCCACCGATTCCAAACAGAATATGAGATATATTGGTGGGGTCGTCGCCGGCGATGGCGAGGACATCACGTTGAAGGAAGTAACGCGTGAGGGTTTTATGGCCGTAGTGAGGGGGGTGGTAGGAGGAAGAGAGGTAAAAGAAGAAGAAGACGATGCCAAAAGAGCAAACGCCGAGACCGGCTTTGAGGAGGACAGAGAGTATATCGCTGAGTTTGATGGTGGTGGGGAAGAAGACGAGGGATTTCCATACTTTCAGAGGATTTTGAGCTGTGGAAGAAGACATTTTTTTGAATAGGAAGGGAAAGTGGAGACGAGGTTCAAAAAGAATGATGACAATAAACAAATTGTTTATCTCATATATATATATATATATGGACTGGCACACATAAACACCAAATAGTGGAACAAGTGAAAGTTGTGGGAGAACGTACGTTTTGCTTCACAAGTCAGAAACTCATAATACACGGGTGCCTGCAGTACAACTCATTTAATGGAGTTTTAATTTAAATTTGAAAATCAATTACCAGATATTACTTTGAGCCAGAGAATCTCCAGAGATATTAAAAAAATGATTAAGACATGAAATAAGAAAGGGAAAAAATGAGAGCTTAATTTACTCGTTTAAATGAAAAAGATAGTTAGTATTTTCCAAAGTTTTAATGTCATTTTTAATCTTTTAAAAAATTAAACAAACTCATCTTTTGGGAACATTTGGAGTAGGACTTGTTTTGGTAAATTTGGAAAAAAAAAAATTGAAAAGCAATTCTGCGTAAGCTTTTGAATCTAACTGATCATCTAAACTTTTGTGAAAAAATATCTATCACATTATGCTTCAATTTTTTGTGTCCTGACATTAAACAAACTCGTGTGCAAACATCCTTGCGTGTGTATTTGTTTAACCAGAGGATTTATCAATTGTTCATATTTTAGCAGTATAATGTCTTTTGCCCAGCCCTCTTTAATTTCATTCGTGGTATTAAATTGATTTCTTGTTTGGGTACATCATAAAATTTGTACTCTAGGAAGGAGGCTATTTACCCTTTTCTTTGGCAATTAGACAAAAAGAGATAATAATATAATCATAATATGCTTCCCAACTACAAAAAAGATAACCAACCTAATCAGGTCATAATAAATTATTTATTTTATTTTTATTTTACCTATAATCAAATATAGAATATTTTAAAATTATCTTTTTTTTTTTTGCTGGAAGATTTGAAATTTATCACCGAAACAGATGAAATATAATTGGAGAAATTTTTCAAACGAATAATTTAAAAAATTGACATAGGTATCAAAATTGGACATATGAGAAAATTTTCGGTTATGCTGAATCGAACGCGCGACTTATTAATTCATGCCGACTTACTTTGGCCAGCAAACTATGAGTTCGAAATGTGAGGGGGTACTTTAAAAATTCCAAAATTTTTAGAATACACGTAAACCATAACGACATTGAGCAAAAAACTTTTTTATCGTGAAGTTGTTCAAAAAAAATTTTTTAGGCACATAGGAATCTGGGAACAGGTGAATTGTTTTTTTCGAATTTTATTGTTTTGGAATTTTTTTTTCCTTGGGGAAAATGTTAATATGTACAGCCAACTCCACTGGGCACATATATATTAGGAAAACTTTCAACTATACATATTTCCATCTAGACAGCTTAATACAACTTGCAATCCACATATTTTGTATTTACTCCCTTCATTTAAAAATATAAAATATTTTTAATTAAATTTTACCTTTATAAAGTAATTATTTATTTTTAAATTAATTTATCTTTTTATATTTACTCATATTATACACCTTATAATAAATATAAAGTCATTATCAATAGGAGTATTTTTTTAAAAAAAGCAATGATTATTAAAAATGTTTTACATTTTTGAATCTCTAACTTATCAAAAAATATCTAATGGAGGGATTAATTATTAATTATTAAATTATATATACACAGACGTCTACAATTAAAAACATAAAACTGAAAATATGAGGTCATCTCCCTCACAATATTCATTTTCCAACACCAAGATAAAGAGGCAGAAATTCAATATCACATTAAGTTCTTTTTTTCACATCTCAAATAACGATTTATTTTACAAAACTTCCCAATCAATATTGTGATTGACAATATCACGTAGGATTAATTATCCATTGAATTTCCATAATTAAATTTGACTTTCAAAAATATTAAATTGTCAAAACTCTAGCTATCGATGAAATTGGAGCAGTTAATTAGTAACGTAGATTGTAGGCTCTCAGTTTTGCTTTGGTTTTGCCTTTAATTTCCGTTTTCATCCAAAAAAAATTTTTTTGCTCGACCAGCGAAAATGCTCAATATATTAAGCAGAGGCGAACAAAGATACAGGGTTCAAATGAGAAAAGGAATGACAGAACAGGAAATAAACAAAGCACAAAACAAGCATTAAAAGTACAAAAATAAAAAAAGATTGTAGGCTCTTAAACATTAGATAAAGGCTTTAAAATTATACTTACTATGTGGATATACCGGTTTTTTAACAATAACTTTTGGAAAAAAAATTTATTTATATGTTATTTTAAAATTTTAAAAAATATTAATTACTATTTTTCCAAATATACTGATATTCCAAAGCAGCGTTGATAATAAATAATGGTTATTACTTATTATGAAAGTTTAGAAAATTGACATATTAATTATATTTCCAAACTTAAATTCTAAAATGTTAAATGATAAACAAAAAGAAACAAGGGAAGTGTTATTAACCATCAACTTTAAGCACATATTACAAGCACTTTACGTTCAATTGTAGGAGTTGTGTCAACTTTGTTTATAATAGGATGTATTTCACTGAGACTAACAATCAAAATTTCTATCTCATGAATCTTAAAAAAGCCATAAGATAACTATGTTTAATACTTTCATTTCATTGATTGATTCAAGGGTTTATATACTTTTCATTCCTTCCATTGAAAAATGTAAAGCATTTTTAATTTTTTGATGTATAATCGTTGCTTTTTTTTTTATAAATGCCTTTATTGATGAATGACTTTATATTTATTGTATGATATTTGATAGAAGTAAATATAAAAAGATAATGCTAGTTTGAAAGTAGTCAATTACTTCATTGAGAGGTGAAATTCGATTAAAAATACCTTATATTTATAAACGTTGAGAGTACATATTTACATCCTTAATTGTTTATTACATGATATTAATTGGAGTGATAATTGAGTGGTTTCAATACATTGGTAATTCATAATGGAATATCAGATAGCCAATTTTAGAGGATTTTAATCCATTTACCGAAGAGCAAATAACCCTTTTTGTAAAGCTAAACCTCCGCTAATATATGTTCAGTGTAAAAAACAGTTGAATACTAGTGAATTTTGGGATGTTTTATTGAAAAAAATTAGGATATTTTCTTTTGAAGGGTCTGATCAATCTATGATATTTCAATATAAGAAGATCTCATCATTTTATTTGCAAGATCATAGCTTCATTCCTACCTTAAGATATGTTTAGAAATACGTTTCTCAAGGCAAAAACTATAACCATTATGATTTTTTTTTTTTGCCAAACGTATTAATTTCCTGGTATTTAATAATCAAATTTCAATTGGAAATGTGCGACTGAGATCGTTTGTGGATTGTAACTTGGAAGATGGGAGGATCATCTGTCACCTAATCTAGCAAGTTATCCTAACAACATCGTTCATTGTATATGAAGCAGTAAAATTCTCAATGTTGTTAACGACATGCATGGTATTTTTTTTTTTGGTAAAGTATCTAATTTTATGTTTCTTATATCTGAACAAGACTATTTTATGCAAAGAATAATTTTTTTAAAGTAACAGGAACAACAATTATAATTTATCAATATCAATACCCGTATATTATTGCTATAAAATATACAGTATTTTTACCTTATTAATGATTATTACTTCTTGTTTTTTTGCAAATAATATATGGGTGCAGATTCGCTTTTACCTCTTATACTTCATACGAAAACCCATCCAATTTATATTTAAGAAGTGATCTGAAGAATTTGGTGTCTTTGCAAATTTTTCATTTTATTTCGAAAAGAGCTCATCAAATCAAACATTTAATTTTTTATTGAAAACATATATGCAACTTTAGTCTTTTAATTTTATATCAAATTTTAATTTGATATCTTAATTTTATAAAATAATTTTTAGTTGTTTAACTCTAATACCATTAAAACATTAATGTCAAACAATGATTTTTTTTTTTTGTCTGGCAACGACTGCTACTTTAAAAAATTCATCTTATCATGACAACATTCAAGTTCAATGATGACATTTTTTTTTTCTATTAACGAAACTAACAATATAAGAATTTGAAGATTGAAAGGACATAAAGGATTGACATGAAAATTAGTGTAAAATTAAAAGATTAAAATATACTTTTACCTTTTTATTTTAATAATGAAAATTAAGCACACCATTCATCCATGACTCGCTTTAAGAACAAAGTTTGTCACCATGGTTTGTATGTCAGATCAGAACAAGATGTTTTGGCACATTTTCCTCACTAAAAAAGTGTGCGTGTGTGTGAGAGTAAATGAGAATATTTCTTGTTCAGGAATGGCTTGAGATCAAAGACAATGAACAGTTATCTCCGGAAGAACGTAATAAATGAGCACTTTAATTTGATCCACAATCCGTCTTTAACTGTACGGCCTCCTCCTCCCTCTGCCCAATAGTCTAATACCCAACCCTATCACACGTGGCTTGCATAGATTTTTTGGGTCAATGCCTTCTTCATTGACAATATGCATCCCTCGTGGCGTTTATGTTTGGTATGTAGAAAATAGACTACAAGGGAATGAGAGTGGGAATGCGAACAGAAGTAGAAATAAGGATGTTAATAAGATGGAATGCTATTGCTATTCACCTTGTTTGGCAATTGGTAGTTTGTGGGTAAGAGTAGATATGATTATATATGATACACAATATAATATAACAACTAACCATTCTCGTAATCTAATGAAAGAAACTAATTTCTCATGACATGACAAACTTATATTTTAATTTTTATTAGGAGAGATGTCTTAATTATATTTAATACCTGATTTTACTTTGAACGATATTATTTTCAATAGGAAAATACTCATGACAAGCAAAAAAAATAAAAAAAATAAGATTAGTTTTAATGGGAGGATGCACATACGCAATAAAGAATATAATAAAAACAGAAAAATATAGAATGAAAAATTATGAATGACAAAATTACCCTTAATATGAAAATAAGAGCTTCAATAAAATTGCTTTTGAAGGGTAAATCTAACATTTCATATTTATTTTTTA